ATCTTCTACATCAGCAAGACACTTAGGGAGGCCGAGCTCAGGTACTCCCCCATTGAGAAGATGGTGCTGGCCATCGTCCACACAGTGAAGAAGCTGGGGCACTATTTTCAAGCCCACACCGTCCATGTGCTGACCCAGCAGCCTCTTGGCGCACTCATGAGGAGCCCCACAAGCTCCTCGAGGATGGTGAAATGGGCGATCTTCCTCAGCCAGTTTCAGATTGAGATCAAGCCAAGGAAGTCCATCAAAGGGCAAGCCATGGCCGACTTCGTCATTGAATGCACAGCAAGGGAGACGGCCGTCGCCAACCCCGGGCCGGAGCCGGACGATACGTGGACCCTGTTCACTGACGGCTCGTCGGCCGCGAAATCATGCGGCGGCGGCGTCGTCCTCATATCCCCTGAAGGGTTCAGAGCTTACTATGCCATCCGCTTCAACTTCAGGGTATCCAATAACGAAGCCGAGTATGAGGCCCTCCTCAGCGGTCTCAGACTCGCCGCCGGCCTCAAGGCCAAGCACCTCAAAATCAAGTGCGACTCCAAACTGGTAGTGGGCCAGGTGGAGGGATCGTACGAAGCAAAGGAAGGCCGGATGAAGCAGTACAAACAAGCGGCGGAGGAATTGCTGAAAGCGTTTGAAACCCACGAGATCACTCAGATCCCAAGGGCCGAGAACGCCGAAGCCGACATCCTCTCCAAGCTCAGCTCGGACACCCCGGAGCACATCTCCCAGTTGGCCAAAATCGAAGAGTTGAGCATGTCCAGTATCCATGCCAGCCCCATCTTATGCGTCCAACAGCGACCAGAGGACTGGATCTCCGACATCGCCACCTTCATCACAACGGGGGAGCTGCCCCCGGACGAGGAGAGGGCCAAACTTGCCAAACTCAGGGCCCCAAGCTACACCATCGAAGATGGCAAACTCTACAAACGGTCCTATAATGGCACTCTCCTCCGATGCATGCACCAGGACGAGGCCGACACAGCCATGGAAGAAGTTCATTGTGGCGTCTGATCCTCACACCAGGGCCCTTTCAGCATGTCCCGGCGTCTCGTCGTCCAGGGCTTCTTCTGGCCGACGATGGCACACGACTGCGCTGACCTGGCCAGGAAGTGCACCACATGCCAGGTACTCCAGAAGGCCCCTGGTCGGCCAGCTGTCAACTATGCCCCTGTCAGCACCGCAATTCCATTCTCCAGATGGGGGATTGACCTGGTCGGCCCCCTGCCCAGAGCTGCCGGGAATAACCGCTACATCATCGTCGCCGTCGACTACTTCACCAAGTGGGTCGAGGCGGAACCCTTGGCCAGCATCACGGGGGCCAGATGCCAAAAATTCGTTTACAAGAACATCATCACACGCTTTGGCGTCCCCCAGGAGATTATATCAGACAACGGCACCCAATTCGAGGCAGCCCCTTTTCAAGAACTCCTCCGGGAGTTTGGGGTAAAGCATCGTTTCTCCTCCGTTGCCTACCCTCAGGGCAATGGGCAGGTCGAGAACGCCAACAGAACAATCATGGAGGGGCTGAAGAAGAAACTCCAGGCCGCAGGAGGTAGTTGGGTCGACGAGCTCCCCAACATCCTGTGGTGCTACAGAACCACGCCGAGGAGGGCGACAGGTGAAACGCCTTTTGCCCTGTGCTACGGCTTTGAAGCAAAGGCGCCCACGGAAGTTGCCATCCCCAGCCGACGAGTGGAACAATATGAGCCTGACACCAACGAAGAGAACATGAAGATTGACCTACACCTGGTTGATGAGAGGCGTGAACAAGCTTACGTCCGAGCAGAGAACTACCGGCGTCAAGTAAAATCATACTATGACGCCAAGGTACGTTCCCGGGAATTTCAGGTGGGGGACTACGTCCTCCGCCGAAGGGAAGCAAGCCAGCCGACAGTGGGTGGCAAGCTAGCATTGAAGTACGAAGGGCCCTACATCGTCAGTGCCGTGGTCAAACCCGGCACCTACAAGCTTAAACGCCCGAGTGGGTCCAATGTACCACGAACGTGGAATGTACATCATCTGGTGAAGTTTTATCAGTGATCCGAAGGAGGTGCAGACGGCGAAGCCCTCACCCCTTGACGGGTTACTGATTGAACGCCACCCTCGGCCTCGAGCCACTTATGAATAAAATCATGTTCTGATTTTTTCTCTGGAATTTAAAGTAAAACATTAGCAGGTGCCCCCGTCGGCCACCTTAGAGCGAAAGGCTCAGGCATGGCCGACGAGGCCCCCTTGCATTTGAAGCCTACGAGCAACAAGCTCAGGCGCTCCATTGTATTTTGTATCAGCGAAGGGCTCAGGCCTAGCTGAGAGAGCACATCGTCCTGGCCCTGTGAGCCTAGAAGTGAAACGCTCAGGTATGGCCGACGATGTCCCCAGGACGAGGGGCCCGCAAACGGCCCACGTCTTGAAACGGGAAGCTCACCGCGTCGTCCACGTGCCAGATCGCAGGACGACAAGCCTGAAATCATGGCCGAGGTGACAAAATCCCAAAACTCAGGGATGGGCAACGACAACCGTTGGAAACCGACCAAAAGTCTAGCCCGCGTCATAAATAGGCGACGAGACCCGCCCTGAGATCACGGACGTTATAAACGAAGTCCGAAGCGGCCGAAGGACGAGCACACCCTTCGGCCGAAGCCTGAAAGAAGGATACCCCCGAAACAAAAAAAAAATAATATAAGGGAAAAAGAGGGAAGCCGACGGCCGCGCACACTAGCCGGCCTCGAGCAATGAAAAAATAAAATCCCCACAACTCAGGCCCAACTAGGCCAAGTACATATCAGTTGAACACAAGTGTAGTACCACTGACAGGTAACATGGACGACACGTCCACACACTACAAGGGAATGATCAAGGCCGACACACACGCCTATAAAACCCTAACCGCATCGGTTGGGTGACACGCGAGAGGTGACCTTCATCGGCCACAGTCCTTTGAAGCACCAACGCTTGGTATGAAACAAAGAATCACAATCCTGAGGATGACCAGGACGAAGCGGGCACTGCATACACCCGCGGAAGACTCAAGCAATCAGGAAACAATCCTTACTTGCCACAGCAGCCAGGATAGCCGATACAGGCACTGGAACCAAGGCTGTTGGTCAAGCGAAAGTTCTCTGGGAATTGGTTCAAGTGTTTACCAGACACTTAGAAAAAATCCTGAGAAGAAAAAAAAGAGGGTTCCTCAACAAGGAACCATGGCTGGCCGACGAAGGTAGGACCATCTCCTTGGAAAGCCATTCCTTATCCAGCACCCTCATCGGCCACAAGCCAGACCTTGGCCGACAGCGGTACCGCAAAGAAGTAAATGCCTAACATTTATACTTGGAAAATTCTCCAAGTACTCAAGTGGAAGAACTCTAGACGAAGCGGGTACATATATATTCCAAGGCCGTTAGCTACCTACGCCTTGCATATGTACTTAGGACAAATTCAAAGTCCAAAAGACTAAGGTGAAGGTGCCCTTATCGGCCACAACACAGGAATGCAGGCCGACAACGACACTGGTTCAACATTTGGCAAATCACCCAAACCATCTTCCAATAATGGGGAGAGACTCAGCGCCAGGACGGAGCGGACACCACGGTCAAGGCCGAAAGGAAAGCACCCAAGTGGATCCCAAAACTCTTAGAAAATTTTTGAAAAAAAATCCTAAGTGTTATGATAGCAACGAAACACCGGTCAGGCCGAAGAAGCCACTAGGCTGGAAAGAAAGCAACTTCGTGGATCCAAAAAACTAAGTGTTATGATACTGCATCAACACCGGTCAGGCCGACAAGGCCACCAGGCCGAAAGGGAAGCAACTACAAGAATCCAAAACACTTAGGAAATTTTTGAAAAAAAATCCTAGGTGTTATGATAGTACAGCAATGACGGTCAGGCCGACCAAGCCACCAGACCGGAAAGAAAGCAGCTTAGTGAGCCCAAAACACTTAGGAAATTTTTGAAAAAATTCCTAAGTGTTATGATAGTAAAGCAACGACAAACAAGCCGACCAGGCCACCAGACAGGGTAGACTACCTCACGGACGTAGCGGACACTCGCGGGTGACCCAAGTTATGACCTTGACACTTAGACAAATTTTAGAATTGAAATGACAAAAGGCAAACAAGCATACAAGGAATTCAAAGCCGAGCAGGACGACAAAAACTTTTTCATTCAGCAAGTTCATTACAATTGGGGGGCGCTTCGGCCGTTACATCATTTGGCAAAAATAAAAACTAACTACAAAGGAGAAGCCAATCAAGCCTCTGGGGCACCTCCATCTGCGGCGGGCTCTTCGGCCTCGTCGGCTCCCTCCTCGGCCTCCGTCTCCTGGCCGGCGGCGGCCGCAGCGCTAGTGGCATCGTCCAGGAAGTCAAAATCAGTGTAGTTCGGCTCGCCGAGGCCGGAACTTTCAATTGGGGACTCCCGCTCCGACAAAGGAAGCTTGGCCTGCTCCTCTGGATCCTTCATCAGCTTTGGCAGCTTCAGGTTCCGTCTGGCCCACCCGGACGTGTAGTTCATTGCTTTCAACGCGCGGGATAGCCGACGACACATGAGCCTTTGCATCCGCTCCTGGCCCATGTTGTAATAGACGGCCATCTCCCTGCTGAAGTACTCCTGGCCGGCGGGGAAGTTCATCCCCCAATCTTCAAGCCTGGCGGCAACCACTTCGTAGCACCAGGGAAGCCTCTCATCGGCCTTCCACCCCTCGGCCAGGAACTTCTCAACGACCTCATCAGCAGCCCTCACGACGGCGGCCTCGGCCTCAGCTTTCGCCTTGACGGCCTCCTCGCTCTTGCGCCTCTCGGCCTCCAGCGCCCTTTGGGACTCCTCGAGCTCCCTTTTGCTCTCCTCGAGCTTGGCCAGGGCATCATCCCTGGCTGCGGCGGCTTCATCGGCCCTGGCCTGCAACGCCCTGGCATCCTCCCGGAGCCGGTCCAGGCAAGCTACCGCCTCGTCGGCCGAGGCGGCCTTCTGCTCCAGCTCCTTCAAGCGAGCTATCTCTCGGTATTGCCTCTTGTGGCTCTCCATTAGCATGAAGGCACTCTGCAGAAACAAGGGAAACAAAAGTCAGGCAAATGGTTTTACACAGACGACGAGAAAGACAACGCATAAGGAAGGTAACTTACTTGGACGAGGAGGTCCATGCCGCCCTCGTAGATATTCACGTCCCCGAGCTTCCTCAGGTAAGCCCGATCCTTGGCCGGCATGGCCTGCGCCAGGACGTCGTGGCCAAGGACGACGTCATCGAAGACACCCCCGCCGACGGGGTATTCTACCATCTTCTGGTAGGTGGCACCTGCAATCTCTTTGCCGGCCCTCTTCGTCCGTGGCTCCTGGACGAGAGGCAGTGATGGAGCAGCATCACCAGCAGCAGTAAGGTCCACGACAGGACCACTATCGTCCACGCTGGGGACAGCCAGAGTACCGGCCTCAGTAGCCGGAGAAGGGGAAGGAGCCCTCTTCGTCTTCTTCGAGGCGCTCAGGCCGGCCTCAGTTAACTTTTTCTGGCCGTCAGTGGCCGGCCTTTTCTTCTTCGATGGAGCAGGCTTCGGGGCCGCATCAGCAGTAGCCCCGCTCCCACCGGCCGCGGCACGTCTGGCCGCCTCGGCCGCCTTAGCAGCCAGCTCCTCGGCCGCTTTGGCCTTGGCAATAGCCATTATGGAACGTCGGTCCATGGCAAAATCTACAAAGGAAAAACACAACGGATTAGTAAGGCAAAGGACAAAAACATAAAAACAGAAAACCGAAAAAATAATTTCCATCGGCCTCAGCAGGGATGCCCAAATCCGGGCCGTCGGCCTCTTCAAATGTGGTGGTCATCCTCGGCCAGAGTTGGAGGTCATCCTCCTTATCTCCATACAGGTGGTATCTGAAGAAGCCGAGGGCGGTCATCTTGTATTCAGTAATGTAATCCTTCACGCTCCTCGGCCCCCCTTCCAAGAAAGCCTCCACCTGAGCGTCCAAAATAGAGCTCTTCGGCGGGTCGTGCAGGTTAAACCTCCCGGTGTGGCCGAGGGAGGGAAACTCGGTGCCACTCTCACCAATGGACACAAACACGAACTTGCTCTTCCACCCATGAATGGACGTAGGCAAATCCGTGAAGCTCCTCTTCTTCGGCAGCTGTTGAAGAGTAGCATAGGCTGCACTGTTCTTGTGGCTTCCTCGGCCGATCTGGTACAGATTCATGAATAGTGTCGTTGTCGGCCTGTAGCCCAACTCCTCACACCGGAGCAAAAACCCCACCATCAAGGAGTAGCTGTTCGGCGTCAGCAGGGCCGGAGGAAGCCCTACCATGTATAGGTACTCAGTAATGAAAGGGTGAAGGGGGAACCTCAACCCCTTAGCAAAACTCATCGGGTATACTCCAAAGTATCCCGGTGGTGGAAGAAGAACATGGTCCGTCGGCCTGGGTGCCCTAACCCGCCCGAACGGCCCCACGTACATTTGGGCAACAAGATAGTCGGCCGCACTGCTCTCCGGCTTGATCAGGTAGATGTTGGTGAGATCCAGGTAGGAGATGCCCGGCCCACTCTTCGGCCTCCTCACTCTCTTCGGCTTAGCGGCTCCCTTAACGGCGGACACCGGCCTCGGGCACGGAATGACAACGGAAGTGGACGCCCCGTCCAGCACTCGGGACGCACCTGCGTCCTCACCCCTTGAAGAAGAGGCGGACTCCTCGTCCTCGCCTTCCTCGTCCACCGGCTCTCCGGATTTGTAGGGACTTAAACGCTCTATCTCCTCTTCAAACTCCTCGAGCACCTCGTAGTCAAGCGACCTCGTGGAGGGCTGGTCGTCGTAGGGGTAGTAGTCTTCGTTCAAGCTCTTCATAACTACTACTGCGGGCCTAAGGCGACTAACTTAAGATCTAAGGGTGTTCAAACGCCTAACACTAGATCAACCACCTAGGAAGCAAAGTATGAAAAATGAGGAAGATCGCGATGAACACTAACCTTGAACAACGAAGAACAAGCTTGGGAGTTTATCTCTCTAGAAAATCGGCCAGCACTTCGACAAATTCAGAATGCAAATACGTTCTCTCGTCGGAGGGGGAGGGGTATTTATAGAACCCCCCACCCAACGGTCACTACACGTGGCACCCCCCCAATGGCCACGCCAACGGCCACCAATGGGGGGCGACCACATCACCACGGACCAAACTCAATATCAACAGCCCACTGGCAGGACGGACTCTACGGCCTACACACGCTCACCGGCTTTACAAATGCCAGCAAGCACCCACTACGTCCCACTTGCTCGCCAAGATCACAACTGCCAAACAATAAGGAGACGGCAACGGCCAGGAACGTAACGGCCACAAGATCAAAGGACCCAAGAGCCCAAAAGCCATCGGCTCCTCGTAATAACCCTTGATGATAACTCTCTACAAGCGATCTGCGCACAAGGGTTCTCCCACAGGGTTACCTTGGCCAGAAAATCGCCATGAGGGTTGGATTCAAGGGGACTACGGCGAGACCGCTTTGGCCGGGGACTCAAGCAACTCCTTCACCCCTCACACTCTTCGGCCTGAAGTAGTGGGGGACTGGGGGACTACACCGGCCTCAACAAAACAAAAGAGAATGCAAACAAGGTAACCACAAAGCATGGCCACATCATCCATACAGCACAACGGAACTTCATCGGCCAAAGGCCCATAACGTCACTAGCGACGACCAACAAGCCACTAGAGGCAAGGACACTCACCGTCCCCCGCCAACAATTAATCTTGACGGGCCCTTCGGCCAAGAACACGAAGGCCAACCAGCAACGGCCAGAAGAAGTGCGCAAACACCCTCATCGGCCACCCAAAGGAAAGGACGCCATCGTCCTCAAAGCAAGGAATAACTTCAGTGGCCTCATCGGCCCAAACACAAACTTCAACCATCAACGCCCAAGCAAAACGTGCCTTTCAACGGCCACCATTGAAAGAAGGACACTCATCGTCCAAGAACAAAGACATCAAGTAAAAAACGGCCTCCCTGTCCACAACAAGGAACAGATAACGGCCAAGGGCGCCAAAGCATAGGAATCTACTCTCCTTCACTTCATCTACGTCTCAGCTTAGAGAGTGGGGGACTCCTGATGGAGTATATGTGTCTGAGCCCCCAGACCCACATACTCGGAAGAACAGAAAGCACAAGGCACAGAGTGGCGCCCTCGTCGGCCAGGACGCCCCCGTCGGCCGAAAAGGGGCCAACTCGGATTATGGTCCTGAGTCCAAGGAACCCGGGTGCCCTCGTCGGCTGTGCCCTCGTCGGCCGTACCCTCGTCGGCCACGCCCTCGTCGGCCACGAAGACCTCACAGAATCGGGTTTTATACTTACTCATTTGTACAGCCCATTAGTGGCTTTGTATTCGGCCCAGTAGCGGTCCAGTTGTAAATGGGCCTCCCGAGCCCAAGGCTTGGGAGCCCAACCCTAATTTTCTCTATAAATACTCCCCTTGGGAGTAGTTATAGGGGTTACAAATTCATTCTATTGAAGCATATTATTGCACTTCTCTCTCTAGCTCTCACTTCTCTCTAGAGATATACTCTATCACCACTACTGCTATTCATCTCTCTAAACGCTCTAGCTTCAAAAACTCCTCAATCTCCAGAATCTCTCAGAAATTTCTCAGAAAATGAACCTCATCAACATCAACGATCTCACCAAGGAAGAAGCTAAGACCATTGTTGCCAATGTGGTTACCGACATGAAGGTTGATTTGTCTACACTACCTCTACTCGCAAAAAATCAGAAAAGAATGGCCAAAATCATACAAGGGATGAATGAATCCCAGCTGAGCAAGATTGTTGCTCATCCATATGAAGAGTTCAGCACCAGGGATGTAGCTGAATTCTATCTGAACGCCACTATCACCAAGAGCGGAGTCCACTCTAAGGTGCAGGGAAAGAGCATCTCAATCAATGCTGATGCTCTGAACGAATTCTTTGGAGTCCAACTGGACTCTCAAGACTCTGAGACTCCCACTCTCATTGACCTAGAGTCAGTGGAGGTCTCAGTTGAAGCGTTTGCCCAGACCTACTGCCGCCCTGAGGCCGCCAATCTGGACAGACTTTACATGAAGAAGTTTCCGCTGAAGAAGGACTTTGAAAAGTTGGTCGTCATTCTGCACAGGAGCTTGTGGTGCAAAACTAGCTCAACTGATGAGATCAACAAGGCCAACCGCAAAGCAATCTTTGTTGTTCATCATGGGATGAACATAAACTGGGGTGAGGTAATCTTCGGTTCTTTAACTGAATTCATCAAGAAGAAGGATCAGAAAACTGGCCTTTTCTCAACAAAGATGGGCCATGGCCTCCTTCTGTCTGCCATCCTCACTGCCCATGGAGTTCAACTCAGGGACCCTTCCCCAGTTGATCACTCCAAGACCTTATTCCTGAATGCATCCCCCAAGCTGAACATAGCCATCTCTACTGAACTGAAGAGAGAAGAAAGGCTGGAAAAGAAAAGGGAACAACAGGCTATCAAACCTAAACCTGCTACCAAGAAGATCATTAAGAAGCCCTCTGTGACTTCAGAACAGCCTGAGCAATCCCAGATTGCAAGGGATGTAAGGAAGAAGAAGAAGAATGATAGAAGCACTCTATCAGAAGTGGATGCACCAGAGATGGGCGCATCAGAGTTGGCTCCCCCAAAATCTATCAGAAACTCTCCTGAAAAGAAGCAAAAGTTGAAAAGGAGAAGGAAGTAAGTTGTTCCGAGTGAGGACTCTGACAACTCTGGTCTGAAACCTTTGAAAAAGAAGAAGAAGAAGAAGAAGAAGAAGACAACCACACCTGCACGGAGATCAGAAACTCAGGGGGAACCTGAATTTGTTGCACAACCCTCCTCTGCACCAGACTTGGTTTTCACTGCAGATTTATCAGAACCCCAACACATATCTGACAGAGTACCAGAGACTGATTACAACACCATTCTTCAAAGGCAGTTTGAAAGGGTTCTGACCTGGAGAAGATGGAGAATGGGGCCTCTTCAGAAGATCATACAATATTTTGACTGTTTTGAAGCAGAAGAAGCTGCTGTTTTACACTGGGTGGGCACAGAAGATGTGTCTCAATGCTTCGACCTTGCCTTTCTCATTTCTGTCCTACAGAAGAAGAAAGAGAAACATCAAGGTAAAGCACCTATGACTACCTTATCTCCTGAAAGGCATGTCAAAGCTTTGGAGGAACATGAGATGAAAGAGTTTGATGAATGGCTAATGGAGAAGAAAAGAAAGGAATCTCTCATCAAGTTTCGCCACAGTGCTCGTGAAGAAGGGGAACCCTCCACAGCCAATGATGTTCCTCTGACAATGGAAAAGCTGGTCAAGGAATGGAGAGAATCCTTGTTCTCTGAAACTTTTCTTGAGGTAATTCCTACACCCCCTCCTTCCCCTCCCAAATCTCCTTTTACACATTCACCCCCTCCTAAAGTACCTTCACCTACATTTTCCTCACCTCCCAAATCACCCTCAAAACCTTCAACCCCAATCAAGCAGAAAACCCCATCACCTCAGAAAACCTCCTCTCCC